TTCTATTGGCATAAAATTAAGGACAATGTGGAATAATAACTCCAACACTTTTCTATGTAACATCAGCAGCATCAGGTTGTATATTAGTAAGGTTACTGACCAAACTGCTATGGAGGTTCCTCAATGTGTCTCCCCTTGGGAAAAGATCCCACATAACTTCTGGCACATGGATGCAGGCTTGTCTCTCTTGCACTGTTGCAATCGCAGCCAGTATAACACACCTACAGGGACAACTGGAACACTTAGACTGTAAGCAAGACTAAGATATTTGTTAGAACATGTTTATTTACTGAAGTTGGCAGACTGAATACATTAATTTCAAGCACAAGTAGATAAAACTAGTGGAACTAAAGAAAAACAGGCAAGAAAAGGTCAGTTAAGAATCCTTCAGTATAGACACTCAGTGAATCACCTTCAATGTGCCAAAATGCATAGAAGAATGTATAGGGCAGATGTGGGATGATACTCATCACCACGTATACTTAGACATGCCAGGTTAAATTGGAGTAAGTTCACGTCAACCACACACAAATAGGTAATATGAGAAAGGAGCAGAAAAATCGAATGTCCCACTGCATGGAGCATCTTTCTTCTTAGACCTGCCCAGCTGCTGTGGACTGGTGTCTAAGCTGCTATCGCCCAGAACTGGACTAGATGAGTTGGCAGTATTCATTTGGTGTTTGTATGACCAAATAAATCTGAACCTTGGACACTCGTTTTTCTGTGAGGCATGGGTAAATGGATATCAGAAGACCACTCTTAGACCACAAGAAGTTCTAGACACTTCATACCTGCAGTGCCATGGGAAGTCAACCACAAGAAACTGGAGTGTAAATTAAACTCCCCAGCACACGGGCACAAGGCAAGAGGAGGGAGGTCCCATAACTAAACCCAGTGCAAACACAAGGTAATTAGACACACAAGCAGGTGCTCTTCTTCCACCAGAATCCTCCCCTATGACACCTCACCTGTCCTCACATGACACCCTTCTCAGAAACCCCTGTTCCATTCCCTCCTCCACATTCTGCCCCATTACAGTGCCCTTCTGCGATCCTGGTGTCCTTTTACATCTCCAACTGAATAAGAACCCGCCAATGACCTTGCAAGGGTGCTTTAGGTTGAAACCTCCCCATCAGCAAACATCTCTTCCAATAAATACATGAAATGGGGAGGATCAGCACAGCGCTGCCATTTTCCCCATCTGAATGAGAAACATTATCAACCGGAGCTGAAGCAGGGTAAGCAGAGCATGGGGAACTCTATGACCTGAAGTAAAGACATGGGCAGCCTATGACTTCAGTGAGGCCACAGAATTTAGAACTCTTCATGATGTCTCCAGAATCCATGTCCCTGAGAAAAGGTCCAGAGAGTGGACAGTTAATTTTATCCCAACTGCTGCACAAGTGTAATGAAAATACAGCCAATGCCTTATGAGAAGATGGCGGGAAGCAGAAAGACAAAGGGAAGAGATGAGTGAGTTAGAAGGGATGCTGGTATGTCCCATAGGCTGAGGTTCATGGCCAGTGGTCCTTGGCAGGCAGATTGGGCAGAGAAGAGGTGACTCAAGCCTGAGCATGGAAGAGAAATTTTTCCCTTAACATTTGTCCCATAGGCATAGAGTATGCTGTTTCTCTGTGTCAGTGCACTGATTCCCACCTGGCTGGGGAGAGGCGGTCATGTGGGAGGGCAGTGTCTCTCCCAGGGAAAGCACAGCCTGACACTCCCTCCACACCTATCGCACCATGGACTTGTTCCTGGACTTCATACTGCCCCTTTGATGTATTCCTAGTGCTATTTCACTGTCCTAAGGGCCATTAGTTCATATTCCTTGACATAAACTGGGGCAACTCTTCCAACTTGTTCTATGTTTGACAGTTGTCTTTGGCTGTTGTAGGGCCTTAGCATTTTTATATGAATGTGATAATCAGCTGTCCAATTTCAGCATATATCCTGGAATTTTGATTTGGATGGTATTGAATCTATCCAGGTATTTGATAAGAACTGACATAACTAAATCATCTGAAAACAAGGTTTATACCTCTATTTGTTTATATTCCCTTTAACTCATGTTTTCAATATATTGTTTCTCAATGCAGAGATCTTCTACATCTTTATAGGATTTCTGCCCTCAACTCACACTGCTGTGTCTGGGGACAAACACTACTGCTCCACTATCCGAGCAGCTCACTGGGATCATAAACTCAGAACCAATAACAAATTGAAGATACAAAATTGGAAATAAAGAGACTGTATTGAAAAGACGGGAAAAGGAGGAGACAGATAGCCATGCTGACAAGGACCTGGGTATGGGCCCCGGGAAAAATGGAAGAACTGTAGGATTCAACTGGCCTCTTCTGTAGGAAGTCAGAGACCCTTTCTCCTACCTGGAACTTCCCATAATTCCATTGGCTTCCCAGCATCCCTTTTTATGTCATTCTTTTTGAGTAGTGTATATGTAACCTCTTTTTGTTTATGTGTTGATTTGTCCTTGACAGAGCTTTATCTCTGGGGTGGGCAGCTGGTTGGCAATGGAGTGCCTTATTAATAGTTAACTTAGAGTTAGTAAGGAGATGCATGGATATTTATTTTAGTAATATAGTGACCCTATACTGGATATATATATATATATATATATATATATATATATGCCATAGATGTGAGTACATACTGAATAAGAGCTTTCCCCAAAGTTAGGCAGGCACCTCTCCCCCTTCTAACTCTCTGCCCTCTGCTTTCCTGCATTCTATTGGGGGAGGGGAGGTACTGCTATCTTGGCTTAGGATTCTTGGCACTCTCTGTACCCTGCCTGTCACCTCTTTCTCTCTCTGGTAGTGTTCAATGCCACCTGTGCGAATGCCTTCTCCATATCTGGTTGTTTTCTCTGCCCTGTCCTTGAGACTACTCCCAAGGGAATTTTTCTAGTAGAGTTTTAACTCTTTCTAGTTACGGTTAGAAAGAAAACTAATGAAACATTTGCTCTTCTCTTTCCACGGCTGAGGACTCTTTTCTCTACAACACTTTATAATTTAATTTTAAGTTGTACTTTTTATTATTTTAATTTCCAGTTTCTCACTGCTACTGTAATAATATATACAGTGATATTATACTCTGTGACACTGCTAAACTCAGTAATTATTCTAGAACTATTTCCTTAATTTAAAAATGCTTATTTTCTTATTCTCTGTATATGTGAAGGCTCATACATCTTTTCTCCTTATGGATTATCTCATCAAATTCTTGTAATATTGAATAGAAACTTAAAGGCAATGTTGAATAATTCCTCAAAATTTAAACTTCTCTGTGAATCATCAATCTTAGGGTATATCTTAGGTAAACCACTGTGGAAACCAGTATCCTCAGTTTCCTAAAGGCAAAGACCCCACATAACTACTGGCACATGAATATGTGCTCCATCTCTTCTAAGATGTAAAACCCAAGCCTGAATACTACATCTGCTGGGACAAGCAGACCCTGCAGATTGTGAACAAGATGAGGATACCCATTTCAACATGTTTATTTGCTGAAGTCTTGATAGGCTGAAGCTTAAGCCAATGATTTCATGAAGAGCGCACAGAACTAGTGGAAACTAAAGTAACACTGGGAAGAGGAGGTTAAATAGAAACATCCTTTGGTAGAAGCCAACAGGTGAATTCACATCATGGGACACAGAAGTGTTTGAAGGTAGAAAGTGGGATGACCCACATTTCCACAAAGATGTGATAGATGTGGCCAGATAAGCACGGAGGGATTCTAGGCAAGCCACACACAGCAGAGGTGATAATTCTTAATGGAGAACACAGAATGTAGTGCTGAATCGTTTGTCTGAGGGAAAGTGTGGCAGTCACTGTCTCCTTATGATGTTATACACCAAAATAGGATTTGGAAGGATGATTGGCATTGGTAGCTTAGTTTGGAAGGCTGTGGAGTAATGCTAAGAAAAGTCCCTGTCATCAAGCAGACCATCCTTGCGTCATTAGACTCGCTTTCCCCATGGAACTAGAGTTACTGTGCTCTGATGTATTAGCTTGTTTTCCCTGAGGCATGATGTGATCACTCCATGTCCTGAGAGGGATGTATAAAGAGTTCAGAGGCCTCTGTTAGAGCACAGGGAGTACAGGACATTTCAAAAATGCTAACAAAATCACCAGTAGCTGGAATGCACATAGAAATCTTTCAGGAAAAGCACAAACTCTAATTCCCTCCACACCTACCTCACAGTGACATTTGTTGCTTCCAGTCCTAAGTTGTAAGCAACTCAAGGTCTTCAGAATAACTAAAGCTTTCCTACCAAAGATCCATAATAGTACTCTGAAACACTGAAATGATGGCACTGAAACTCACAGAATGAACACTACGTTGGCCACTTCCTCAGAATGGAGTGGTTGGCTGGGGACAGGCAGTGGGAGTGATTCATTTTTACTGTGCACTGTACAGAGTAGGATTAACTGTAAACAAGTGCTGTGATTCAAGTTTCTATTTTAGACAACTGTATATTTGAATACAAGTGTAAGAAATACAGTTATGTCTTTGGCAACCTTTAGTCCCACCCTCAGTGCCAAAAATATTGAAACAACACTATTGTCAAATTTCTCAAATGTATAGTAACATGGATGCTGCCAAGATATCTAATAATTCCATTGGCATAGGGACCCTATCTACTTCCCTTTTAGGGTCACATCAATTCCTTCACACCACACTTTCCTCATCCTTGGAAACCACTACTCCTCAGGGCTTCATTTCACTTGAGAGTCATCCTTATCTCTCAGGTAAACCTCACAGATGCTGAGGATATGTCCATTGGTTACTGCCCTTCCTGGGGCCAATCTTCTCATCGCTGTCCCCGGTGAAGTCAACCATCTAAAAGTGCTGCTCAGAGTGGTCTTCCATCCTCCCAGGCTTTCTTCTGAGGGTCTGGCCTCGAATATCTATTAAAATACCACGAATATCTATTAAAGTCAACTCCTGCAGAAGGAACTGCAGTTACCCTGCCACAACCCGCTATGGCTCAGCACCCACCCAAGGCAGTTCTCTACTATACTCCCCTCCTCAGTGTCCTGTTTCTTGCCTTTAAGTTCTTGAGGAAATCCGTCTATCTCTCAACATTGGTGGTGCTGCTACACTCCACCGTCCTATAGCATGGGCTTAATACTGCTCAGGATACTTTACTCATCTCTCTACCAGACACAGAGCCTTCCAAAGAGCACAGCTGTAATGAGAATTCAGGGCTCAATTTTCCCATGAGCAGGTGGAGTTCTACACTGACAAAACGTTTCCTGATACACTATAATGAACAAAACAGAAAATTCAGGTGCACCTATATCTTTAATAATGTAGAACATCAGATTTTATCTGTATGCCTATTTCTGGACATAAATCTGGCATAAATCTCATACACATTTCTAAGGAAGTTCTAATCCCAATGTTGTGATAACCAGTTTCATCTTATAAACAAAATAATTTCCCAGTTGATTTTACAAAATTTAAAAGATGCCTGCACTCAGGATAAAAGATTAAATTTACGTGTGATCAATATTATACAAAATCACATACAGATCTGGAATAAAAATCAACCATTAATATCAGAAAATTAAAAACATATGTAACATCAATATTCTTCAAACAAGATGCACAAACTCCTTCAATCTTAAAAAAGGGAACAAGATAAGTCATTAAGAAAACACATGTCAATTTTTAGGAATCCAAATAAAATAACCATCATGGCATGGACTATATTATCCCCATCATAACTTGGCCATGAGCTATTTAGAAAGTTGCCTGATCTCTACAAACATAGACTGAAAAATGGCCCTTTTTCACATGAGGTGGGAGTTAAGCTTGTTATGTGGCTTCAGAATACTGCCTGTCCCTATCCAGTACCTAACCACCTCTGTGGGCCATCACTCCAGCATGGCATCCTGTAGGTCATCTTTCATAGCCTTTTCATACAGACAGGTGTATGACCTCGGATCTCTCCTATTAACTTTTGCCAGATGCTTCAGGACTTTCATCTTGCTGGTCTCAGCTTGGGCTCTGGGACCCCACAGGAACTCATAGCGAGCAGGATCACTATTGGGCACCTGCCGACACTCCAGGTACTGTTCCCTTACCAAATCCTTTGTGATGAATTTCCAAGGCTCCTCAATAACAATGTACTTACTCTGAGGCAACCTTTCCCTTATTCTCAGTACTTTCCTTATGTCCTCCACACTGGCATGGTTATCCTTCATGAAGATGGTAGTAAGGATGACTATTAGGAGGTTGATTTGGGGAATGCTCTGATCATTAACCAGTATCCCATTATAAGTGGAGGCCCAAGATGGAGACAAGCTCATATGTGTGGCCAGTGGGACCCACTTCCCTCATCTCAATGCCAAAGCTCAGACACAGGCACTCACAGATTAGACTGACAATGAGAGGGAAGTACACATGGTAATCCTCATCAACAATCTGTAGTATTTCTGCTTTGGTGATTGGATCTTTCTTTTGATACTTAAGGAGGAGGACTGGCAACAATTTAGCTATCTTGTCATCTAGAAACACAAGTCGCAAGATCTGACGAACTAGAATATCCTCAGAGTGGCGCAGATCTTCCTCTTCTTGCTTGCTGGAGACCTCGCTGAACTGGCTCCTTTGACTTGAGGCCATGTCACCGTGGGAAGAGGTCATCTTCAGTATTCTAGGGACAGGATCCCACCATGAGGCACTTCTCTAGATGTGGTCTGGATTCGAGGATAGCAGGAAGAGGAGGCAGAGGAAGCAGTGGTTTCTACTTGCTCTCCCTCAGGCTTAAGAATCTGCACCTCCACCTCTTAGGGTGATGTGCTGGATCATCTAACTATGAAGATGTTTTGACTTCCCATGGGATAGCAAGTTTGGTGATAAAGACTTGGGTGCCTGGAAGAGAGACAGAGAGAGAAAGAGATTGTGACTAAACTCAGCTGAGAATGGTACTCAGCACAGGCCCAGGACAGGTCTTCTCTTTGAGTGGTGCTCGAGTGTCTTGCAGAATCCTGTCCTCTTGAAGGCACTGTCCCCAAAACCCTGGCTCGGGAACTAAGACTGCTCATCAGGTTGCAGCTGAATCACATAGGGCAGGCTCTAGGTAAGACAGTAGTGCTTATGGTGCCTGAGCTTATGGAGTCTCCTCTGTCCTGGGAGTCCCAGTTACACATTTAGGGCACGTACCTCATCTTGACTCTTGGTACTACCTGGCCTCCTCTGCTGCTGTGTGAGCTATGGATGCTGCCTCAGACCAAGACCCTCACCTTTGGTTCCTGGAGCTCCTGTAGGAGGGATGGCAGCCCTCAGGTTGCACACTACAAGCATTGTCCTGCTGCTTTCGCAGGAAAAGTGGGATGGACTCTGTGAGATTCCTACTGTGTTGGATGAATAGTCCCTTCTCTGCTCATTCAGGGCCTTCAACTGTCCTTGAGTAGGGTCTTGAGTTCAGGCCTCTGCTGGCCTGAGACACCCCCTCAGAGAAATTGACCACCTTCCTGAGGGGCAATATAAGGCAGTAAAGGAGGCACACATCTGGGCCTCAGCTACCTGAGGCTGTGAAGTTTTCTGCAGGTATAAAAATTCAGTTGGGTCCAAGAGGTCTAGGGAATGAATCTACTGCATTCTTACCTTTACAAATGGAAAGGTCTAAGACTCTCCATGGGATGATCTGTGCCCAGCTTTACCTACAATCCTATCTCCATGAGACATTCAAAGAAGAAGTGAAGAGAAGTCAGCCCATCTGTATTCCTTGGGTCTGATGACAGGTGACAAAAGGACAGGTTGAGGTCAGGGTACTATGTGTTCGGTTGACAGAGTTCCCTCTGCTCTTACCTAGATTGCTGCCAGGACCTGGTGTCCTACTTTTGTTGTCCAGAGTCTAGCCTCTTCTTACTAAGACTTTCTGTTCCTTGAGACAAATTACCCAGAACTAAGACAGAGGCTTCAGCTTCACTGCAATGTGCAGGTTATATGTTTCCTAACACGCATATGTCTGTGTTTGGTGCAGGATAAGCTCAATTCCTTTAGAGTTCTCATTTTGACTCTTGGCAGATCCTGGGACTCCTGTGTCTTTTGACCACATGGAGTGGTCTAGGCCAAACTGAAAACACCATCTCAGGTCAAGTCTTCACCTCCCTAACATCTCTAGGATTCTCAAAAGAAGTGAGCAGGTGCCCATCCCATCACTCCTACATGGGGAATCCAGGACTCAGGGCAGAACCTATAACCATATCTTCTGATTTAATCTAGATTTTCCACTAAACTCATGGCGAATCAAAAACAGGATGTCTTGAAGGTGACTGAATTATGGGGGCTAACAGGTGATGTGCTTTTAGAAGGTGGGTCCAAGTAAAAAGAGGAGTGCCATTACGAGGACACGGTGTATCTCCACTCCTGGCTCAGCCCTTCATTCTCTGATTTCTGGAAGACTTGTGGTGAGCACCTTTCCTGTTACAAGGCCCTTCTGCTGTGATGTTTTGCCCTGGAACTGCCCAATTGTGGGCTGAAACCCCTGTAATTTGCAATCTCACGTATAAACATTTTCATCATTAAATTGCAGGTATTGGTATTAGTTTTCAGCAATGAGAAAATAAGTAATTTATCACATATGTGCTTCTGTAGTTTCTGTACCTTCCTCCTTATGAGGCATAGCCTTCCTCATCACCACCCTACCAGAAAATAGATGACCTGCTCTTTTGATACGAAGACTTCATCCCCTGAAGTCTCCCCCACCTTCCTGCTTATGATAGAAGAGAGCATGCCACCTAGGGACCCTAAAGAATGACCCAGGATCAGGAAGAGTCTGTGAGTCTATTGTTTCTTGACAGTGGGTACCCACAGTCTGAAGGAAGAGGCTAGCTAAGGTCAGTTCCTGGAGTCCTCTCCTTACTGCCAGCATGTATTTCCCTCTGTTGATTTGAGTCACCTTTTGATCAAGGTCCTCATATCCTTGAGTCCTTTACTGCAGCTACTTAGCAGAAATGTGAATAATTCATATGCTTCCCCAGTCACTGAGAACTCCTGACTTAAAACAAGGGAAGCCAAGCTCTGTGTGTTTCCGTTTTTATGGGTGTGAGTTACCTTCAAAATGACACAGAATAACAGAGTGGTGAGCAACAACCATTAGGATTTGGGAAAATCACAATTTTGGGAGAGCCAAAAAGAGAAGAAAATAAATGCCAATGAGAGATATATCCCCAGGAAGTTGGAGTCACATGACAGGAAAAGCATAAAATACAGATTTGAAGATACAGACTAAAATGAAATGACGGGAACAAAGCAATCTAGTCTTTCGTGCTGGCTTCTGCTTTTTAGCAAAGAAGATAGAATCTATAGAACCAAAGTGAAATCTGGAACTTCGGGAGGCCCCAGGGAGAAAAGGCACTGTTCTGTGGACTGGTGGTTGTGATCTGCTGGAACTTTGTGGAATTCCATGTAATAAGTCCTTCAGGAAACAGCAGGAGACTGACCCTTTGGCATATCCTTGGAGAGTGCACATGCTTTGGTGCTACTCCAGGAAAGTGTTGAGTGTTTGAACCTGGGACTCAAACAGCCACAGGACAACTCTTCTTCAGAGCTCCCAGTGTTTTCCTCCCTCAGTGACTGGGTGAGAGACATTCTCAGAAAACAACCATGGAGACGATTGCGGCTAGAAAGAGACCCACTGAAAACTGAGCTTGGGTGGCAAGGGAAGAGGTCCCACTCTCAGCAGTCAGAAACCAAACTAGCCTGAGCTGCACTGGGTTTGAAAGTTTCAGCATGGTTTTTGAAGCCGTTGCCTTTCTGTCTACTTCCAGCACAGATCTGGGTGCTGGCTCCCTTCTTGACCTTCCACTGTGAGCACAGATAGTTGTTTCACTTGTACATAGAACAGGAAAAGCAGAGAGGCATCTGAGAAAATTGAGAGTTGATAGGTTACAAAATTTGGAATCCCAGAAGGAAACTCTTTGTTCAAAATCACAGGTTATTTTTCTAATATTCTATTTTTTTCTCACCTCTTGTTCTCCCAACACACTCTTTCCTTTTCATTTGTTATTCTCCACATAATTTTTCCTTTTCTTCTTTTGTTCTGTTGTGTTCAATTTCTCATGTGTTTTTGTTATATTTACCTAATTCTATAAACACTCTTCTAGTTCTTAAAAGATTCTTTGTTCAATTTCTATCTTTCCTCATATCCTAGAAACTAGTATACAAACTGCAATCCAAAGCCCGCTTACTTGTTGCAAAGTTCCAACACTGAGGTTAAACCTGAATACTGATTGTTTAGTTTAGAAAAAATTCTCATACATTAATATCTTTTGTCTTAAAAGAAAAACAAATAACATATGTCTCATAGGTTCACCACTACTGTCCTAAAGCTTTCAAATTTTTCTTTTTGCATCCCCCCTTTTGCAACCTCCTGTATCTTCTATATAATAAACATTATGCTTTCTTAACCTTATATAATCACAACTACGTAATTACTGTTGAAGTTTTTTTTTAACATTAATGGAGATATAAGTGTCACATTCAGTACATATTAGCTGTATGTAAGTGGCTTCTTTTAGTGTTTATGGTATAAGTGAAGAATTCTATTCCATGGTTAAGGATGGTAACTAATCGTTTTTTATCGCATATTACTATCCAAATTACTTTGGATGCTACTTTGTAGCTGATTTGTTTTACATAGGCAAGATTACACAATTGTTGCCATTAATGGGTTTTTCTCTGTATCCCAATGCTCAGAATACATTTTGACAATAACAGTACCAGAGCACATTTCCACATAATTTGGTGTTGGGACAATTGCATGGCACCTTCCTCTAGCAAATTAATAGAGTTGGTCTGATCTTAGGACAAGGGACAACCGATTGTAGATAGCTATGCCAAAATTAAATCATTCAGAAGCAGACTAAACAAAAGCTCTATACTATCAATAATGTCTTCCCACTAAGTGACATTAACTTCATCACAAAAATAACAAACAAACACAAAAAAATGAAATGTGAGAAGGCAAAGCAACAAAATGCACCTCAAACTCCGAAACTCCCACAAAGCCAGTGTAGGAATCACTGAGAGGGAGAAAAACATGTCATACTCCCAATTATTTAGAAGGAAAACAGGGGAATTCAGAAAATAGATCAAACAGATACTTCTCAGTAGGATCACAGAAAAATGACTGAACAGATAATAGAAGTAATAACTAAAAAATCCAGATTTCAGAAGATATGAATAAAATGCTAGATGAACTGAACAAAATGATACAAAAATATTTTTGTTGTTTTGTTTTGAGACAGAGAATCATTATGTAGTACATTCTGCCTTTGAATTTATGGTGTAGCCCAGGATCACTGTGCATGTCAGCTGGCATTGAACTTACAGGGATCCTCCTGTCTCAGCTTCCCAAGAGCTTGGAATACAGGCATCACCACCACACAAAGCTTGATACAATAATTACTGAAGTGTTTAGTAAACTATTAAGAGCCCATGAAAAGGTTTCAAAGAGACATCTAGGAGATTGAATATTATATTGAAAGTATAGACAGCACAGAGGAGCAATGTGAGGACACAATTTCAGAATTAGAAGACAGGGATGCTTTCAAAGACCAACTAATTAAAGAAAACTTTAAGCGAAAATAAAACATTAAAAGTATATTCAATACATACTACATGGGGCAAAAAAGACTAATCTAGGAGTGATTCAAATAACTAAAAAATCCAAAGTTAGAACAATTGGCATAAAAAATTCTTTACATAAATAATAGCAGAAAACTTCTGAAACATAGAAAAATAAACATTCAGATGAGTGAGGCATACATAATTTCAAATAGTCATGACCAGTACAGAACCTCTTCATGTTACATAATTGTCAGAATACTAGAAGTCTAACACAGTGACAAAATCTTAAAAGCTGTTAGAGAAAAGCTACAAATCTGTTCTAAAGTCAAACACATTAGAAAAACTACTGACTTCTCAACTACAATGTTAAAGGCTAGGGAAGCATGAAGTGTTTCAACTCCTAAAAGATAAATTCCCTCTGACTTACATATCCTACAAATGTTCCTTCAAAATTTATGGAGAAATAAGTTTCTTTCTTTACAAGGAGCATCTCAAGAAATGCATGATCAGCAAACAGGCATTACAAATTCTCAATAATATCTTATAAACAGACAATGAAACCAACAATGTCAATTACTCAAATAGAATGATTTAACCTGACAGGATGAGCATCTAACAAGAAGGGAAAAATATAAGAAAATAAGCAACAAGAAAATGATGCAATGACAAGAATAAATCAATACCTTTCAGGAATAAGTCTCAACTTTCCAATCAAAAGACTTAGATTGGTAGAATGGATCAAAAGTCAAGACCCAATCATAAGCAATGGAACACATTTAACTAAAAAGGAACACATTTACCTAAAAAGAAATTCACAGACTTGATATCAAAGGATGGAAAACAATACTCCTTTCAATAGGAAAACAGAAAAAAGCAGTAGTAGCTATCCTAAATTCAGACAAAGCAAGTTTCAAACCAAACTGATCAAAAGAGACATAGAAGGTCACCACAAGTTGGGTATAGGAGCAACTCAAAAGAGAATGGTAACAATTATAAACATACAAACACCAAACACCAACACACCCAACTTCATAAAAGACTCACTAAATGGGCATAAAAATCAGACTAAAACTAACACAATTACAATCAGGGAACTACACTCCATGTCACAAATAGTCAGATCTCATAGATAAAAAATCAAGAAGAGCATATCACAGTTCAATCAAATTTTGAAAGAATAGATTTAATAGATAGCTACAGGGTCCAACTGAACAATAGTAGAACACACATTTTTCTCAGCAGTACATGGGACTTGCTCCAAACTAGGTTCCATTCTAGTCCATAAATCATGCTTAAGTAAATGCAAAAGAACCAGCAGGCCATGCATAGTATCAGATCAGAGTGAAATGAAATGAGTAGCCACTGGCAAGAGAAACCAAAATTTCGTACTATTTTTTGAAATTTTATACCACTTCTATCCTTTTTTTCTGTTTCACTTTTTAAAATGAAAAAAATTAAAAACATACGGAAACTAAATAAGACCTTCTTGAAATATCAATGGGTTACAGAAGTCAAGAGAGAAATTAGAGAGTTCTTAGAATCAAATAGTAACGCCAGTACAACATATCAGAAACTATGGGGCACAATGAAAGCAGCCCTAAGCAGAGAGTTTACCACACCAGAAAAAGAAAGAGAGCCTAAAACCACTTCAGGGTACTCTTTGAAGTCTTATAAAAATGAGAATAATCCAATTCCAAAGCTAGTATGAAGATGGAAATTATAAAAGTCAAAGCAGAAATTAATAAAATTGATACAAAAAATCAGTGAATGAAAGTATTGGTTTTTTATACATAATAAACAAAACTAACAAAGTCCTAGCCAGCCTTACCAAAACAAAGGAAAAAATGACTCAAATCTAAGCAATCAGAAGTATAAACGGTGAAATCATAATAGTTTGCTGAAATTCTAAAGATCACTGGTATTAATTTTAAGAACTTTTACTTTAAAAAATAGAGAAGTCAGAAGAACTGTATAAATTCCTACATATACAAGAACTACCAGCACTGAACCAAGATAACATAAAAATTCCAGCTAGTCCAGTATCATTAAATGAAATCAAATCTAGAGAAACAAAGTATAACTAAGAAAAGTCCAAGTCCTGGCACATTCACTGTCAAATTCTACAATAATTTTAGAAAAGATCTAATGCCAGTATTACTCAAAATTATAAAATTTAATTATAAAATTAAAATTAAGCAATATTCCCAAAATAATTACTGAAAACAAGCCAGGAAAGGTTACAATCAGAGGAGAAAACTACAAGTCAATTTCTAGAATGAATATAGAATCAAAAGTCCTCAATAAGAAACTGGCAAACAGAGCACATTAAAGTATCAAAAAGATCACTTACTATGATTAAGTAGGATTCATTCCAGGGGTGTGAGGATGGTACAACATGTGTAAATTAAAAATAAAATATACTGCATAAACATAATTAAGGACAAAACAAATCCATGATCACCTCAATAGATGCACAAAAATATTTGACAGAATCCAATAGCCACTCATGAGAAAAAAAATCCTGAAGAAAATATATGTAGAACAAATTTATCTCCATCTGATAAAATCCATATATGAAAAATTCCCAAATCATATTAAATGTGAAGTCAAAATATTTTTTTCTAAAATCAGGAGCAAAACAAAGATTTATTCCATTACTATTCCTGATCCAAATGAATCACAAAATATTATCCAGAACTATCGGTAAAGAGAAATCAAAGATATATATATATATATATATATATATATATATATATGAAAAACAGAATGAAATTACCATTATTTACAAATGACATGATCCTCTACATGGAAGACTATAAGAACTATAGAAAGATTTGTAAAATTAATAACGAATTTAGCAATGTAGCAGGTTGAAAATCAAGGCAAAACATCAACAGCATTCCTATACAACAGTGATAAATATGCCAAAAATAAAACGAAAGGAATACAACTTTCATAATAGCATCAATAAAAATGAAATACTTGAGAATTAAACAAGGAAGTGAAAAACTTTACAGTGAAAACCACAGTATTCTGAAAAAAGAGAGCAAAGAAAATATGGAAAAATATTTTCTGTTCCTGGAAAGGCACAACGAATAGTCAAAATGGCAATATTTACAAAAATTTTACACAGGTTTAATGTGATCTAAGCAAAGTAACAATAGTATTCCTCATAAAACAGGAGAAAATATCATAAAATTTATAGGACACAGATAAGACCTACCAAGAACAGCAAAATCAGCAACACAGATTTCACCTCTTTAAATAATGGCTTTTTTCAAGTAATCAAAAAGCAAATGATGGCACACCTGCAGGTAGAAGGAAAGCCTTATTCATTATTGAGAACACGTAAATTGGTACGAACTATATGGAAGTCAGTATTGAAATTATTTAGAGGAGGTTGGGAATTTAGCTCAGTGGTACATTGCCTGCCTGGCAAGTGTGAGGCCCTGAGTTCAATTTGTAGTACAAAAATAAAAGAAATTATTTAGAAAACAATAGAAAAATTGCATTAAACTCAGATATTCCATTTACTGGTACCTTTGGTAAAGAATTAAAGACATCATATCAAAGTGATACATGTGTAGTGACACAAGTGATGCCAGCTAAATCTTGGAATGAGCCTACATGTCTATCCACAGATGAATGGATAAAGAAATTTTAGGATTTATGTACAATAAAGTAGTACTCTACCATAAAAAATACATATTTGAGTCATGTATATGAAAATGGATGCACCATGACAGCATACAGTCCCGTGAACTGAATCAGACACACATGTTTAATAACATATGCAAAACCCAAAATAGAAAGTAAAGTGAAAGATGAACAAGTAACAGTGAGAGAGGTTTAGCATATTGGAAGGGAGCCAAGAGTCGCAGAGAAAGGGAAAGAGGAAAAGGGTATCAGCTAAAAAAGAAAGCGTGATTTATAAACTTTTCACATGTCCTAAGTCTATGTGTAACATGATCATTGTGTACTAGAAATATGTACATATAGTTAGGCAGGGGCAGCAGGAAGAGAGGAAGAGGAGATCAGAAAAAAGAATGACCATGAATCATGTTCATGTGGCAACTCCCCACCATGAATGTAATCATTGAGTATGACAAACATGAACCAATACAAACAGCCTTCCACACTCACCTGGGGTCCTCTCCTTGACTCCCGGCAGACCCTGGTCTACTCCCTTTGCCGACAGGATGTGCCTCCTCTTGGGAGCTGGTGAAGATCCTCACAGCAAGGTCACCTCCCTGAGACCTCGGAGACAAAAGTGCAGCGCATCAGGACACCTTTGTAAGGGTTTCCCCAAACTGACAGAGGAGTAGAACCAGAGAGCCTCCATCATCTGGTGCAGGCCCAGGTGGTCACATTTCCCTTCTACTGACCTGCAGAATCATGAGGCAAATCCAGTCCCCCATCTCCCTTGGACAGCAGAGGTGGAAGTATGGGGCAGGGTGAGTGTTCTCAGTACATCCTGAGGCCGCCCCAGCCTGCCAGCAGGGCCAGGCTTCTCATATCTTGGATCTGCTGACCCAAGGCCACACTGTTCAGACCAAGGCCCCCTCCTGCCTGGTGCCAAAGGTGCAGCATCCCCCAGGGGTTGGTCACCCTCTGATCTTGCAATAATTGTTCCCTCTACATCTTCTCCTTGAATCTTGGATGCAGCTTTACTCCTCTGTCAAGTTAGAGCCTCCTCGCTCAGATTCTAGGTGGGAATGCAGCTCAGCACTCAGATTTAGGTTCCATCTGTCATGTTTGCTGGGCCCTGAATTCCTGCTTCATTTCCATCTTGCCTGGGCCAGGGCCTGTGTCTCCATTTTTCCTGAGGCTTTGCTTCTTCTTCAAAGGCCCTAAGGTCCCTCAGATCCTCTTGTAGAAAACCAGACACCCCTATCTGAAAACCCTGCTTGGGGCTTTCTTGGACTCACAACAAGGGCAAGCTTTTGGAGTGTAGCACACTCTCCTTTGCGACCAAGACTGTCACCAATCTGAGAGCTCACCAATGCAAGTTACAGTTCCAGGCATCCAGGCACCATGGGGGTTGCCAGGTCTGATAACTCTGGCAGAGAAGTACACTATGGGCTCTTCTAGAGGGGTGGCTCCCCTAATTCCTCTCTGTGGAGCCTGACCTTGGTTTCTGGCAGTCTGCACTGCCATCATTGTTTACCTGAGTGTGCCTTGTCACATCAAGGATCTGACTTTCAGATCTCCTGAGGACACATTTTGACAAGCCTGCCCCCATGTAGTCCAGGTCTGACAACAGAGATGGCTCTGCACTGTTCAGAGACTCTCACTTTTGGGTGGGGCTTCCTCAATCCCTAGTTGGGAGACCAGCTGGATTGGTAACAGGTTCTCTCTGTTATCCTCATCTAAAAGTCAGACCTCAGAACAAAGCCTTCACCTCCCTGACATCCCCAGATGCTAAAGTCATTTTGTGCCACCCATCTACTTTCAGGGACTTCATGGGGCTGATAGGAGGCCCTAAAAGGCATTACTTTATGGCCCCTCTCCTCCCTCAAACCTTGATTTCACACAAATGTAGGACCTTAGGCCTGTGATGACCCTGGAGCATTCCCCTTTGGACAAAGTATCTGCCCCTCAGAGACGTCTAAGGCAGAAACATCATTGTGCAGGTGGGGAGTAGAAGTGGAGTGCCCCAGGTCCAAGACTAACAACACAGGCAGGTATGTATTATTTGGGGACCCTTTACGTGGTTTATGGCTTCCACAATTATCCCACAGTTTCTCAGCCTGACCTAGCTGAACACAGAACTTCTCTCATGCTTCCATCTGAAGCAGGCGCCCAAGAACAAGGCTCTGAATTCCATGAGTTCCCTGACTCAAAAGAAAGTACTTACCTGATATTCTCCACTGCACAGTGTAGGGCTGTCGGCAGAGGAAGATGGGAGTTATCTGGGGACCCACCATTGGGGTCACATTTCTTCACTCCTCTGTCTGTCTCTGACATAAACCTAATCAAGTGCAGGCCCTATCTTGTTAGCCCACCCGAAAGACAGACCTCAGAACACCTTCTGTGCTCCCTCTCACCTGAATCTCAGTGCTCTTGTCCCAGTGAGGTGAAAGGGGTGTTCTCCTGTGAATTCTGCACCTTGAAGTGAAGGGCAGGCAACTGAGTCTTTTCCAGAAAGCGCTGAGACTGTTTCTGAGGGGCGGCTTCCTCAGTCTTCTTTCAGGCCTCACTTGGTTTGAGACCAGGTGTTGGCCAGTCCACCCTCTCCCCTGAAGCCCTGATCTCAAAACAAGGTTATGACTCTGTGTGCTGGGTATCCTGAGGCAAAATTATGGCCCCCATTGGAAAATTCTTTCCCAGAGTGCAGGGCTGACAACACAGGTAAATCTGGTTGCTCCAGATCCTTCTCCCTGGAGTGGGGCTTCCTCACTCCCCCAGTGACCCCTCAACGTGACCCATAGCTGATCCAGGCTCTTTCTGCTTCCTTTACCTGAATTGTGCAGCTCAGAACAGGTCCTCTTGTCCCTCTGACCAGAAGAAGTCGAAGTCAGTGGATGTCAAGTCCTTCACTATGCAAGGGGTCTCCCAGGGCTGACAGCAGGAGCAGGAAGGGATTCTTTAGATCCCTCCCTCCTTTCTCATATCAATATCTTGGTTCCTGGTAGAGCCTATGCCCCAGTTTTCTATGGACCGAATTCTGTTTGCCACTGTCCCAGGTTTTGCCTCCCAGCGTTCCCTGAGGCTGAAGCTCATTCCAACAAATTAGCCCTTGTAAGATTCAGAAGTGACAAGAGAGAAAGATTTGAATAATTTGGGGACCCCCCTCTCTGAATTAAAACATTACGCCTCCACCTACAGCTCATCATCATTATCCCTAAATGAGACCAGTGCACTCTACTCTCACCTGAATCCTGAGCCTCCTAACAAGCCCTCCTGTTGCTCTAACCCAATAAAGTGCAGTCAGTAAACCCCACATCCAGCAATATACCACAACTGATAGAGGGATAGAAAGGAAATCTCCCCATCCCCCAATACTTCCCAGGGGTCATCACATGGAATCCTAGCAGGGCCTGGACCCCCATCCTCCATGGACCTGGATCTGTTCCTCTCAGACCAAGTTCCCAAAACACATGGCAACGTGATCTCAGTTGAAAATCAATCCTTGTGGTACAGGAATGAAAACAACCTGAGTTGTTTGGAGACATTCTGTGACAGGACTGTTCCACACTCCCCCTTCAGCTCTCACCTTGCCCAGTGAGCTGTGGCATTCTCTGATCCCATCACCTGAAGCAGGCACATCAGAACAAGGCCACCACATCTCTCTGACCCCATTGAGAATCATGTAATGGGTATCATATCCATCAAGGAGCTCACGGCCTGATAGGAGGGGAAGAAGGGGATTCTGCTGGCCAAATTTTCCCTTCTTAGTGATCTTCACGTTGGGTCCTGGTACAGAATAAATACTTTCTGTCATCTATAGACCTAAGAATCAAAGACCTTGTCTCACAGTAAGGACAGATCCCAGGGTGTTTTGGGACAGAAAGGAGGACACTCCTATTGGTTGTAGATTAACTATGGTGGACTATGCTTGCTTCACTCCTGTAGTTTATTTTCTATTTCTCTTATATTCACGTTCTCTTAATATTTATTTTGAAAATCAGTCCTCACCCACCAGGGTGGTTCCAGGTTATTATTAGTCGTCTCTGGACACACACGATCTCCTTTTTTCTGCTGTGCTCATCTTTCTCCTAGGTCGCTGATATCTCTGGTATGAGGTGTTGCCTTTAGACTGCACTGTTGTAGAGACAGGTGTTTTAAAACTTTCTCCCAAATCCTGCTATCAAGGGTAATGTAAGCTGGCCTTAGTGCAGACCTAGGCTGACTTCCCCGCTCCATCCAAATATAAGTCTCAGTCCAACAATCTTCAGTGTTTCCTGTGACTTCCTCCTATTGTTTGTTTACATTTTGTGGCTTATGTGTGTTTGCTAGCTTTTACTTTGCCTAACTCTCCTCTGTTTTCCAGGGTTAATTCAGGAAGCACAAGGCTATAGCCTAACTTTGCCATTTTTCCCTGGACAGGTAAGACACTAAGTAATGAGGAATTTTAAGAAAAATTGAAATTTTGACCTTATTCTTTTTCTCATCGATGAATATGACAAACTGCTAAATTTATAGCAGAATCCTGCTACCTGAATGTGTCAGTAGAATTTTATAATTATATGTACAAAAGCTAATTTTTGTTAAGCTTACTTTTAGAGATTTTCAAGAATTATTTGTGGTAAATGAAAAGTTAAATTTCAAAGTTTTGTAAATGTTAGTTCTAGGGACTACAGTTGTTTATGTTAATTGAAATGAGCTAACCACATGATCTAATGCTTTAAAATATCCCTGTTACTATTTACATATATCTCTGGAGAGATTAATAGCAGTGCTTCATATCTAAAATGTCCCCAGAATCTCCCATTTGGAGTTAGGGCCTGGTGAACAGGGGTGGGTCACATAGAGGAACAATGCAAGGTGTATTCTCTCTGTTTGTCTCTTTGTTTCTTGGCTGAAAACTCTGAGCCAGAATAAACCTCTGTTCCCTTAACTGGTGGTTGTCAGGTATTTTATCTCAGCAATGAGAAAACCAATAAAGAAATATCTATATCTATATAAACAGATAGAAATGTGGAGTAGACTGAGGCTTACTTTTTGCAGGTGGATATCCATTTGTTTCAGAACTACTTATTTTAGTGGGTCTCTTTTCTCTCTTGTAATCATCATTTACAATCTTTCTCATAATTAGTTGTTTGTATATGCATATATATATATATATATATATATATATATATATATATATCTATTCCTAGGCTTCATTCTGTTACATTGATACATTTTTAGATGTATTTCTAAAATTGCACTGGCTTTTTGTTGTTTGTAATTCCTGAAGTAGAGTAACTCCTTCAAACTTTGATATTTGTTTAGAATTTCTTTGGTGGTCCTAGGTCCTTTACATTTTTATATGAATTTTAGACTCAGAATATTTATTTGGGTGGTAGGGAATTTATTAAAGTATTTGGGAAATAATGACTTTGTGACTATATTAAATCATCCAGGTAATGGACAGTGTTTAAGCATTGAATTTATTTAGAACTTTGTTATTTCATCTTCTTAATATATTTCCCAATGTGGAGATATTCTACATGTTTTGTTAGAATCATCACTTTTTTTTTTCTTTTTTGGTACCAAGGGTTGAACTCATGACCCAGTACTTACAAGGGCAGGTGCTTATGCTGTTGAGCTAAATCCCCAGCCCTGGAATCATCAATTTTAAATCATTCTCTTTATTTTACCTTAGATCATACTGTTAACTTTCAATTTCCAGTTGCTCATTGATAGTATAAAGAGTTGAGTATAGTGATTGTAAATCCAGTGATATATCTAAACTCAATTATTTGTTCTAAAAGTATTTGATTGATAAAACTTTATGCAATAATTTCTTATTTTTCCGAAATAGTTTCACTTCTCCCTTTCCAGCATGAGTCCCTCCCAAAACCCAATCCTGCTCCTTGAATTCATCATTCTTCAATACTCATCATCACAGCCAGGATGGAAAGCAATGCAAAGGTTCATTAAAATGTTTTCCTACATGCAAACACCCCATTGAACTTCTGGCACATGATTTGCAGATGTCTTGGTGCCGAAGACGTAGATGGTCTTCTTTGTGGGCATCCATCCCATACCCAACTCATTTTACTCCCCTCAAACCACAGCTTTGACACCCAGGAAACTCTGAGGAGAAAAGGGTTGCAGGGGGTAGTAGAATCCCCCTAACAATTCAGCTCGAGGGTCCAATGCTGACACCTGCAGAAAGGTGGGATTACCTTGGACCCTTTGCCTGGGATGACGTTGCTTCATTCTGCTCTCCTCGTTTCCAAGACCTAACACCTCTTAGGACTCCAGGCACAGACCTCAGAATAAACCTCTGATTCTCAGAGTCCCTGAAGTAAATGGAGACACTCACTTAAGAATTCTGCATTAAAATTTACAGTCAGCAATGGAGACACATCAGTATTGTTTGGGAACTCTCTGAAGAGAAGGTTCTTCATTCTGCCATAGCATCTTCCCATGACCCCTAAAAGAGTCAAAGGATCCGTGCTCCCCAAACTTGCTGGGTGAACCTCACAACCAGACTCTCACACTCAGGGTGCCCTGGCGTAGACCTAGGGGAGGGCTGTGCTCTCTCACTGTGTGGTGCAGGGCTGTGAAAGGGGCAGAAATGAATAATTATTTAGGGACCCTCTGTCTCCTGTGAGGCTTCTTCCTCCCACAGAGCCTGCAGCTAAGTGAGCCCTGGTTGTCTCTTCTGCTCCCTGAAGCAGACCCTCAGAACAAGCCTCTAACTGGCCAGGTTGTTTCCTCTCACCTGAGAATCCTGCCTTAGGGAACAGAGGACAGCAGAGGGAGTTCTGGATTATTCTGGGATCACATGAGGGTAGGGCTTTCTCACTTTCCCAAGGACAGCCCCCACCCTGAGGTAACTGAGCCCAGGTCCTGCCTCATCTCCCCACAGAAGCATAGACCTGAGGACAGGGCTGTGACTCCCTGGACCCCTGTGCTGACAAGGGGGAGGGGCTCCTTCTCACTAATCTCCCCCAGTGTGGTGAAAGTGAGTGCTGTTGTGAGACTTGCACCTTGCACTGCAGAGCAGTCAGCAGGACTTTTGTAGAACATTCTGGAACCCACTCTCTGGTTTTCTCAGTCTCCTCATGGCCCCTCACCATGAGCTAACTGAGCCCTGGTCCTGCCTCATCTCTCCACAGAAGCACAGACCTGAGGACAAGGCTGTGACTCTCTGGACCCCTGTGCTAACAAGGAGGGATTCTTCAGAAATCTCCCCCAGTGTGGTGCAGATCTGAAAACAGAGACACATCTGTATCATCTGGGTTCTTCTGCCTGAGAAGGGGTTTCCTTGGTCCCCCACAGCCTCTTACTTTGACCTTACTGAGCCAGGCCCTAGAGGTTACTCCTAGTCCTACATGAAGCAGGGACCTCCGACTAAGGGTCTGAATCTCCTGCTCCCCTGAGAAGGGGCTTCTCACCTGAGATTTCTTCAGTGTTCAGGGCTGATAACAGATATTTATAGTTTGTTCTGGGTCTCTGTCTCTGTCTCTGTTTCTGTCTCTGTCTCCGTCTCTGTCTCTGTCTCGATCTCTCTGTGTGTCTCAGTTTCTCTGTCTCTGTCTCTCTCTCATGCAGCTTCCTTAGCCTTTGCTCAGCCTCTGAACTTGAGCTTCCTGATCTCCTAGACCCTTTCTACTCCAAAGATCTGACCTCAGTCCTCAGAACAAGGCACTCCTTTCCTGACAGTTCCAAATGAGGTGAAAGAGTATGCTCTCTAGAGAATTATACAGCAATTGATATAGGACAGACAGCAAAGGTTCATGTTCTTTTCCTTTGGGGCAGAGCTTCCTGTTTCCGCTCTGCCCTCACCTTGAACTGACTCAGGCCAGGTCCTATGCATTCTTCTCCCCTGAAGCTGAAACCTCAGAACAAGGCATGTTTCTGTACTTTGTGTGCCCTTAAGACAAAGTGATCTCCACCTGAAAATTCTCCTCCAGAGTGTATGAATGACAACATGGGAAATCTGGATTGCTTGGGGACCCTCTATCTCTGGGATGGGGCTTCTTCTTTCCTTACAGTCAATGAAAGTGACCTCTAACTGAACCTAGTTCTCTGCTCCCCTTATCTGAAGCAAGAAATTCAGAAGAGACCTCATCTCTTTCTCATCCCATGGGCTTGATTCAG